AAACTCCTCGCCTTAAGTGATTCTCTCACTTAGCCTCCTTAATAGCTGATATTGCAAGTGTGGGACACTGTGCCCAGCTTTAATGTAGGTTTTTATTGCTATAATCTCCCTTTTAATAACTGCTTTTGCTGCATCACATAAATTTTGGTATGTTTCCATTTTTGTGTGTTGTAAGATATTTTTTGATTTCTTTTTGAATTTCTTTTTGACCCATTGTTCAGGAGTATGTTAATTTCCATATATTTGTAAATCTTTCAATTTTTCTTCTGTTATTGATTTCTAGTTTCATGCCACTGTGATTGGGAAATACCTGATATGATTTTAGCCTTCTTAAATTTTATAAGACTTACTGGCCTAACACAAGATCTGTCCTTTAGAACATTCCATTTGCACTTGAGAAAGTTCTATATTCTCCTGCTGTTGAATGAAATATCTTGTATATGTTTGTTAGGTCCATTGGTGTAAAGTGTAGTTAAAATGTAAGGCTTCCTTATTTGTTTTCTGTCTGGATGATTTGTTCATTATTGAATGTAGAATACTGAAGGCCTCTGCTATTATGGTATTGCTGTCTATCTCTTTCTTCAGATTTATTAATATTTGCTTTATATATTTAGGTGTTGCAGTGTTGGGTGTGTATATATTTGTTATATTCTCTTGAGCTTTTTTCATTATATAATAACCTTCTTTGTCTCTTGTGACTGTTTTTGACTCAAAGTATCTGGTCTGATGTAAGTTTAGCCACACCTGCTCATTTATTGGTTTCTAATTGCATGGAATACCTATTTACATCCCTTCACTTTTATTCTGTGAGTAAGCAGCATGTAGTCTTGTTTTTTTATTTATTCAGCCTTTCTATGTCTTTGAATTGAATAATTTGATCCATTTACTTTTAAGTTACCTTTAATAAATAAGGACTTGCTATTGCCATTCTGTTAATTGCTTTTTAGCTGTTTCGTAGATCCTTTGTTCTTTTATTCCCTGTTTGCTATCTTCTTTTGTGATTTGTTGATATACTTTTACTCCCCTCTAAGCATTTTATGTTTTTGATGTCATAATTCACATATTTTATATTGTGTACACCTTAGGAAATTATCGTAGCTATAGGTATTTTGTTTGTCTTTTACCCTTTATTCTGTAGACATAAGTGATTTACAGACTACTGTTACAATATTATAGTATGTAATTTTACTATATACATACTTTAACCAGTGAGTTTTATACTTTCATATGTATTTGTGTTACTACTTAGTGTCCTTTCATTTCAGATTGAAGAGCTCCCTTTATCATTTCTGTAAGGCAAGCCTGATGATGATGAACTCCCTGAGCTTTTGTTTGTCAGAGAAAGTATCACTCCTTCATTTTTTAGACTAACTTTTCTGGGTAAAGTATTCTTGGTTGGCAGCTTTTTTTCTTGAACTTTGAAAATATCTTCTTACTCTCTCTTAGACTGCAAAATTTTCACTGAGAAAACTGCTGTAGCCCTGTGGGGATTCTCTCTGTGTGAGGAAGCTCTTTTCTCTCTTGCTTTCAGGATTCTCTTTTTGTTTTTAATTTTTGACGGTTTGGTTATAATATGTTTTGGTGAAATATTCTTTTGGGTTGTATCTGTTTGGAGACTTTTTATCTTTCTGAATGTTTATATCCTTCCCCATATTTGGGGCATTTTGAGCCATTATTTCTTCATATAAGCTTTTCCCCCTTTTTCTCTTCTTCTTTTTTAATTCCTATAATGTAAATGATAACACTCTTGATGCTGTCCCGTAAATCCTGTAGGTTTTATTTATTTATTTTATTTTTCAGAATTAAAAAATTTAAATTTTTGTATATTTAGAGGAGATAACTTCAGATTTCTTACATGTATATGTTGTGTCGTGGTGAAGTCTGGGCTTTTAGTGTACCCATCACCTGAATAGTGAACATTGTTTCCAATAGGTAATAGCCTTTAGAATTCCTTTGTATTCTTTATTCTTTTTTTCCTAACTGTATATTTTCAAATAACGTCCTTTAAGTTTACAGATTCTTTCTTCTCCTTGATGAATTATATAGTTGACATATTTTTTGACTTATCTTTTGTAATTTTAATTGTATTAATTACATTCTTTGGCATCAGAATTTCTGTTTGGTTCTTCTTTAAATTTCTGTTTGGTCCCTCATTCTGCTAAACTTTTCATTTTGTTAGTGTGTTGTTTTTCTGATTTTTGTTGTCTATTGGTGTTTTCTTATAACTTACTGAGCTTCCTTAAAACTAGTATTTGAATATTTTGTCAGATATTGATAGAGTCACTGCTTCTAGACTTTATGGACTAGTTTTATATGAAAAGATCTTCACCTATGGGGTGGTTGTGAGTACACTAGCTGGGTGGGATGTGGCAATTCAGGATCCAGTGAGGATGTGGCAGTTTAGTGTCCACGTAGTTTTTTTGGCTGTGGTTGATGTGGGTAAAAATTTCAGCGGTGTGCAGTGACCAAGGCTATAGGTATCTGCAACAGTGGCAAAGCCTGACAGAATTCTTCGGATCTCTTTTACTTCCCTAAGGGAAGTTGTGGCAGAGGTGACACCTCTTTGTTCTGGGTTTGGCTTGTGGGTGTGCTTGTAGTGACAATGGTACCAATGTCTGATGCATGATACCTGTGGAGTGGTCAAGAAGCTTGGATCTGTGAGCACAGGTATGTGTGGATTGACAGTGGCTTTTGGGTCCAGATGCTAGTGTGTGCAAATCTACTGCTGCTCTGAGGACTGTGATATGGATATCCCTGCTGCATTAATGGTTCTGGTGTCTAGAATGCAGGCACTTGTTGAGTGGTTGCAGAGCCACATTCTGGAATGTGGTCACACCTGGAGAGCAACAGTTGCTCTGGGGCCTTGGGTGTGGGCTAGCTTGTTGTGGTGGTAGCTCTGATGTCTGACGCATGTGCAGTCAGAGTCTCAAAGAGTTGCAGCAGAGCTGAGGTTACAGCCCACATGTGTACTGAGAGACTGCAGCTTCAGGGCCCTGGGCAAGGCTAGCATGTAAAGCCAGCGGCTCTGGTGACTATATTATACATGTGCATGGTGCAGCCTTAGAGATGTGGACTGGGGTGTGAACACATGCAGAACAACGGTGGTTCCAGGATTGAGCTGTGGCTTAGCTCACTGTGGCAGTGGCTCATACCTGGAGCATAGGATTCATAGAGGAGTGGCAGAGCTAGGGTTCATTGCGCAGGCTGGTGCAGAGTGAGCATGCCTGTACGGCCTGGGGTGGGGCTAGCCCTCAGTGAAAGTGGCTCTGGTGTCTGAGGCATCGGAGTGCATGATGCAGCCTTCTAGCAAGTGCTGGAGCCTGAGTACATATGGAAAGATTGTGACTCTGTGGTCTGGGTCACCCAAGGAATTGGGGCATGGTGGCTCTGGTCCTGGGTTGGCAAAATAGTGACTCCTTCTTGGTGGTGGATGGAGCAACATTTTTCTTATCTGGGGGTTTAATGGTGGCAGTGGTTATTAGTTATGTTAGTGGTGAGAGCTGTCAGTGTTCTCTGTAGAGCAGGTTACTAGGAACCATGGTGGGACCTGTGGTTCCTGCACTCTTCCTCATTCCTTGCCGTCTCCAGATGTCTCTGGTATGCTGATCTCCTCAGCTATCCTGTCTGTGTGGTTATTCTCCATTTTTTTTTTTTGCTTTACTATCTTGCTGCAGCTTCTTTGAGACTTTGAGCCCTACCAAGGCCACTTTCATCCATGGATAGCTGTCTAGTGGTTGTTTTTTTAGGGGGGAGATGAAGACTGTTATCTCTTACTTTCTCATCTTGCTAATGTCATTTTGTGTTCTTCCTTTTTTCCCCCCAGGACTGTTTTCTAATGGCTTTTTCTTCTTTCTGGGGACTGAATTTTCAAATTGTAACTGAAATAAGAGTTGATGTTCCTTGTAGTCCTTTACCATATTTAGGGCAGAATTTAAAATTATCTCATGTGCTATGATCAGATTACTCTTAAAATATTATTTTATTTTGGCCGGGAGCAGTGGCTCACGCCTGTAATCCCAGCACTTTGGGAGGCCGAGACGGGCTGATCATGAGGTCAGGAGATTGAGACCATCCTAGCTAACATGGTGAAACCCCGTCTCTACTAAAAATACAAAAGAATTAGCTGGGCGTGGTGGTGGGCACCTGTAGTCCCAGCTACTGGGGAGGCTGAGGCAGGAGAATGGCATGAACCTGGGAGGTGGAGCTTGCAGTGAGCCGAGATTGCACCACTGTACTACAGCCTGGGTGACAGAACGAGACTCCGTCTCAAAAAAAAAAAAAAAAAGAAAAAATATAATTAATGTTTAGGAATTGTATGCTTCTATGTTATTTAATATTTTCTTTGTGTCATGTCTTGTTTATCTAGCAGAAAAGTTAGTGCAGGGACTGTCTTCTGTCATATACTTTTTATGTCACAAGATTGAAGAGTCTTGTGGTATTACCCGAATAGTTCATTGATTATTGTGGATCCTTATTATGTTGGTTCTCTTTTAAGTAGCATCTTGGGTTCTCTTTTGGGTTCTTTGATACAGTTGTAAAGCTTAGTAGGTTAGCTAGATCCTTCCCATAGACCTTATTGACTTAGGAACAGCAACTAAAGCAGTTCTCTTTTAACATCCTGGAGTCCCTCTGATATGCCATATCATAAGAAGGTCACATATATTGGACATTAATCCAGTTTTGTCTTTTACTAGATATATCGTATTGATCAAGTTATGTAACCTCCCTGAGCCTGAACTTCTTTATTTGAAAATTATGACAGTGTCTTATTTTTTAGATTAAGAATAAGAGAATGCAATATAACATGATGATTTGCATATAATAGGTATTTAATAAAATGGTAGCTATGTTCCTCATAAGCATTCTGTAGCCTCATGTAGCCCTGCTAGCCACTCTTTATGTTTGTTTAGCTTTCACATCTATAGCAGTTGTATTTAGCATAGAGCTATAACTTCAGCTATTTATAAAACCTTTAACATTTTTGACTTTTTAAATAATAGAAACTGCTCATTCAGTGACTTATCGATTTGATACCATGTTGAAAGTATTTGAAAACCAGGCAAATATGTTGGAGAGGTAAGCATTTTTTATTTTTGCATTTTATTTTTCCATTTTAAAAAAAAGACAGATAAAATTGTATTTTTCCATATGTAATATGCTTATTGATAAAAGTTAGTATGTATTTATTGCAGAAATATTGAAAACATAAAGAAGAAAATAATGCCTCTGTCAACAAATTTAGAATTTCTTATATTAATTTTTATGATTTTATGTATGTATAATGTTTAAATGGAAAATTATAAACATAGAGAATGTAAAATGAAATGTAAAATATGTGCTATGGGAAAATAGTATATTGGTTTCTCAAAAAATTAAAAACAGAATTACCATATGATTCAGCAATTCCACTTCTGGGCATGTATAACCCAAAATTGAAAACAAGAGTGTTGAAGAGATATTTGTACATCCATGTTCACTGCAGCATTATTCACAGCAGCCAAAAGATGGAAGCAACCCACACGTGCAACAATGAATGAATGGATAAACAAAATGTGGCATATACATACAATGAAATTATTATTGAGTCTTAAAAAGAAAGGAAATTCTGATGCATGCTACAACATGGATGAACCCTGAGGACATTCTGCTAAGTATAATAAGCCAGCCACAAAAAAGAAAAATGCAGTTATTCCTCTTGGATGAGGTATCTAGAGCAGTGTCAAATTCATAGACACAGAAGACAGAATGATGTTTGCCAGGGGGTGCAGGAGGGGGAAATGGGGAGTTATTGTTTGATGCACACAAAACTTCAGTTTTACATGAGGAGAAGAGTTCTGGAGATTGGTTGTAAAATAGTGTAAAGTTACCTAACACTGCTGAACTATACACTTAAAATAGTTAAGATGGTAAATTTTATGTTATATGTATTTTTCCATAGGTAAAAAATTAAAAGTTACAATGATACAAAATGTAGTTTGTGAATATTTTTTCACCTGTAAACTCATATAATTTCTTTTTAAAATAAATGTTTTATTTTTTTTAAATTTATTTTTATTATTATTATTATACTTTAAGTTCTAGGATACATGTGCATAACGTGCAGGTTTGTTACATATGTATACTTGTGCCATGTTGCTGTGCTGCA